GTGGGCAACTTCCCTAAACGTGATTCCCGAAGAGCAGGCCGGCTTCTGTGCAGGCAAAGGCACAACTGATAACGTTTTCCTACTGACAGCATTGCTACAAATGCAATTGAGATTTCCTGGCACCTCAGCTTACGTACTCTTTATTGACTTCAAGAAGGCGTTTGATAAAATTCCGCACTACAAGCTATGGCATAAGCTGGCAATGATGGGTGTCAGTGGAAAATTTATTAGAATTCTGAAAAGCTTCTACGACCAAGCTAACATCTACATCAGAACTGACAACGTTATTTCAGACCCAATCAACATCACGGAAGGGGTGCTTCAAGGGGATGTCCTTAGCCCCCTACTGTTTATTTTATTCATTGCCGATACCACTAGCTTTTTCAACCCTGATTAAACAATATGATTTAAAGGGGCTAAAATGATTTAAAATGATTAAATTTGAAATCATTTCAAATACTGCTCCTCATGGGAGTTAAATCATTTCTAATCATGTTGTTTATACAGGGAAGTCAAGGGGTGCTGAGGGCCTGAACCTGACAGATTCCTTGCAGGTAGGAATGCTTCTGTTTGCAGACGACATCGCAGTTCCAGCTCACTCTGCAGTTAAACTTAGATCAGTACTAAAAATCCTCGGAGAGTACTGTAACATCAACGGTCTTACGGTAAATACCAGCAAAACTAAAATTATGGCCTGCAGACCTTCTGGTAGGCTCAGGAAGGAGGATCGTAAGTTTACTTACAAAGGGGAGCCAATTGAAATAGTAAAATCCTACACGTACCTTGGTGTTCCTTTCTTAAATAACCTGCAAGGTAACTTAGCCACCTCAGAAGCTGTGAGAAAAGGCAACCTGGCTGTAGGGACAGTTTACTCTATTCTAGCTCATCTTAAAGTAGAGTCTTGGACAAATAAATTACAATTGTACAACAGCTTGGTTAAATCCACCACTCTTTACCTTGCTCACATCTGGGGTCTACAGGCTGAATCCTACGAAAAACTAGAAGCAGCTCACTGTTCTTTCTTCAAAAGAATCCTGCATCTACCAAGTTGCACTCCACACTACTTACTTAGGCTTGAGCTGAATCTAACACATATATCCTGGGAAATACTCAAATTAGCTTACAACTAGGTAATCAAGTTATTAGACATGGATGAAAATCGTTTACCAAAAATCTGCCTACAGCGACTGTTGAAACTCGCCGTTAATTTCAAACAGTCCAAATTAAATTGGGCCTTGCAACTTCGTAATTTACTCGCCGTCATTGACGAAGACCATATGCTCGACAACCTAAGTGCTCAATATTGGAAGATCAACAAGACCGGAATCCTAGAAAAATACCGCACTCACCTAAAAGTACATGACTTACAGAGATATAGTAGCTCTAAGTCCTGCCAAGTACCTATACCAAGATCCTTGCGAGATGGAACTCCGGACTATCTATTGAGGAATACATTCCACAAATTAATCAGCAAAACACAGTTAAGAGTAGGTAACTTATACTCTTGTCGACTAACACTTGAACATGGCACTATCAGGCTCCGACCAGCTGAACTCTGCCATTACTGTCATAACTTAGCCCACGAAACAGTTACGCACTTTTTGCTAGAATGCCCTCTCTTCGCTGCTCCACGTGCTCAACATCTTCAAGTTTCATCGTTCAACAGTGACACTTTCAACCTTTTATTAATCTTGGACGACCATTCTATTCAAAGCTCAGACAATCTTTGCAACTATCTACAAGCTTGTGATGATTTAATTACCCAGAGTGACATCTAATAAGCGATATTGTGTTGCATCAGTCGAAAATATTGTAAAAACAATTTTTGTTAATATACTATCTGCCTCTTACTGTAATTTAAATTTTTGTTTATAAAAATTCATATTTTATATATCATATTTTATAATGTATTTTAATTGTATACAATCTAGCGACCAACAAACAGACAGTGTATCAAAGAATTATCTTAAAAATCACTTAAATAAATAAATAAATATCTTTTTGTAAAGAAAACAACTGATTTTTTTGCTTAATAGTCTGATGAACGTGGACTTGGCGCGATTTTTTTACAGTGAATCTGTTTTTGTTCGGATTGTCTAGTTTTTAAAACTCTCCTTCGAGTTCCTATACGATTACTATTCCCAGAGTTATTGATTATCAAAGTTAAAAATAATTTTGTTGCTTTGATTGTCGATAACTTCGCGGCAAATCATCGTACAGGCTTTCTGATTCCGTCAAATTAAAAGGCAATAAATTTTCTAAAAGAACTATTGAGTGAAATAATCAAAAATAGTATATTACACACCTAGGGTAGTAATGTAAGAAAGCCTCAGATCACATGTTTGTTGACCTCGGCTTCGCCTCGGCCAAAAATTACATGTGATCTGAGCATCTGAGATATTTCTTACTTTACTTCCCTCGGTGTGTAATATACTATTTCAAGCCCGTAGACCTTTTTTTATACGAGAAAAAATTTGGAAATTTTTTTTTTTGGTAGTTTCATTAGAATTTCTCCAGCCCCAAACCTGATAAAAAATTTTCATGGTCGTATCTGAAAACTAGACATTTAGAGCTACAATTTACTTTTTTTTGCTGTACGATTATTTTCTTCGGAGTTACAGCTCGTTGAAAGTCACCAAAAAAAAATCTGGAAAACGGTTGACCCTAAAGGCCATCCCTGCAACTTCCCGCCAATTCCATACCTAAACGCTTGAGATTGCACTTATGCCGTTTCTGAGCTCTTCGAGCTCAAAAATACAATTTGTGTGTTATTTCAAGCTCTCCGAGCTCAAAGAAATAGCTTTTGTATGCTTTTGAGCTCTTCGAACTCAAAAGGCTGATAGAAGTTTAATAAAACAGTATTTTTTGAATTGTTAAACTGCAATAATAATTTCTAAATGAATGAATCGATTTTCACGTGGTTGGCAGTATTCCACGCACTTTGTCAGAATCTATAATATACTTTTGAACACAAATTGATCGAACCGAAAATCTTAGAGAAATTTGAAAAATTCACTTTTTTCGAATTTTTTCGACAACGATAACTCACGAAACAATCAACCAATTTTCACGTTCTTGGTAATGATCTACGTGATTTTTTGGGCTCTAATAATTATTCTATTCGTCAAAAATGAGCCAAAAAGAAATCTCGACGTTATATGACAAAAACACTTTTTTTCGAAATTTTTCGTTTTCGATAACTCTCGAACGAATCAACCGAATTTGATGGGACTGGTGGCAATTGACGTGGTTTAACCAGTCTAACAGCGATCGACGTATCTTTTCAAGTTTAAGAGCTTATTAGTTTTTGAAAGTGATCGGTGAAGCCATTTAAGAGATTTTTTGAAAAAATATTTTTTTTGAAATTTTTCGTTTTCGATATTTCACGAACGAATCAACCGATTTTGACCGATCCAACGGTGATCGACGTGGTTTTTCAAGATTGAGAGCGGATGAGTTTTTGGAAGTGATCGGTAGAGCTGTTTTGAAATTATTCTAAAAAAACGATTTTTTGAAAATTTTGTTTTTGAGATTACTCAAAATCTAGCGAACCGAATCGATTCAAATTTTCACAAAATTTAATGGCAATGATACTCTTTGGACCGCTACCTATTTCGATCAGATCGGCCAATCGTTCAAAAGTTATAAGAGGTTTACACACACACACACA